TTAAGATTATATGGATGTATGGAACGCATCAGAAAAGCGGTATAATCTGGTCAAATGAAACTAAGCTCAGGAACATTAAAACTGAGACTGAAATAAAGCATAACAAGGGCTACCCCTTGCATCTGATTGCGAGCATCACTGACATTCTTACAGCAACGCACAAGATGTCCTAAGTTGACCCCTATAGAAAAAACCTATTTTGCATGTTTTGCAAAATGATGTGTGGGTCTCTGAAGAACGTTCATCATACTAAGGCAAAACTGAAGAACCAACTTATATAAGCTAGAAAAAACTTTCAAAAAGCAGTCGTCATAATAAAGTAGAGAACAAGGAAGAGTCTAACATCTGTCTAAGAACCTTAGTTTAAAAATATGGCGAGGAACTACGACGTTGTTAACTTACATTCTTCAAGGAAGCACTTAATTCTTTAACATTTACAACGCTCAATACAAAGAGAGGTGATGAAAAAAACAGCAGAACTCCATTACTTAGACCTACCATATCTCTTTTCTCTGCGCAGAACAGCCGCGTGTGATGACGTTTCTGTACGGCTAGATATGTAATACCCGGCTGGTAGCCGCGTTCCAGCATTATACACGCTTCCCTAATCGCGCGCAACTCGTGCTGCAGTACCTAAATATGAAAACAAGAAACATGAGCAACGTCTACCGATTATGCACCGTAATCATGAATCAGTAAGTCACATCCATCACGGCTGAACAATCGAGTTACAGAGCGTAAACCTGTAAGTGTAGGAATATGGTGGGCAATCACAAGAGCTTCGTGTAGAAGCAGGCAGAAAGTATGAATGACAAGAGAACAGAACCGCGTCATATATTATTGTTATTTTCAAATATAACGAAAAGGTACATATGTAAGTATGGGTGGTGAGTGACTCAATAAAGGACAACTACTTTGGTCTGAAACGTTGAATCCAAAAATAGTCTGGACTTCCTTTTCAAAAAAAAACTATTGAACTTGAGGGCTTCTACTGCCAAACAGTTACAGATCGAAGAGAAAAATAACATATTACCTGCTTCGCTTTAGTAGCAGTGATGTACAAAACAATAATGACAACTGGTGCGACAATGCGTCGAACAAAGGCATTTGGTTCCATCTTGCAAAAGGACAGGCAACGCGAGGAAAGTCAGATATAAACGGAGCGTAATAATGAGAGGCTGTAAAGCCGAACAGCATGCAGTGAGAAAACGAGGATACCAACTATGATAGAAGTTCGCACATGGCCGGTTTCAAAATAATACTGTACTATGAAAAATTCATCAGCATTGTAGAGACGAGCCAGTAAGCTCAAAAATAAAAAATATACATTAATAGGTCTTTAGAGCAAGCAAGCAAGAAAGCACACAAAACGCTTTGATCAAGAATATCGAAGGATCCGCAATTGAAAAGTCTCATAATAGCTATGTGCAGTGTCTGACGTCATTAAATAAGCGCGCCACCAATGCCTGAAAGGTCGTAGCTGGCTCCAATTTCAATCCTTCATAGCAGTTTCATCGCGTCAAGTCAACATGATACTGCTGCTCCGCGTCATTCACAAAACAGGAAATTCTCGATACCCTACTCAGCAGTTCAAGCATGATTCCGAAACAAATGTGAAGATCTGAATATTAATGACACCCTCGTTCTTATGCGTGATTTGACTGTCGCTCGCTGGACCAGCTTTCGTCATTTTGTTCACAGCCTTGTATGTTTCAATCTGAATGATTTATTAATTTCTTAATTCACGGTTTCCCCTTTATTTTGCAGAAGAGTGCAATTTTTAACGATCGTGTTCAAGGATGAACTTTCATTTCACATATTGCAGATACTACAAAAGTACTCAAACTAAACTGAAGTTTATTCGACAGGAAAATCACTAACCGACAGTTTGATCTGTATCAAACTGACGCCCCTCACTGCATTCTCTCCAGTCGATACTTCGGTAACAGCCGTCGTTTCCATGGGAGCTCGACCACATAGAGCACCAAACTTGGTCAGGAAAACCTAGTGATCATCCAGTTACCACGATCTCAATTTAAAAATCAGCTTCTACTTTAAGACGGTAGGCATGAGCGGCTTCTCCATCGAAATAGGCTATATTTACATAAATATTTTTGTCACATTATATTCAGAGTAATTATTTTGAGAAACTGCATAATCTCACTGACTCTTCACGAATCTAGCCTATTCCTACAGAAACTTTTACTTCAGATCCTGTATGTCACTGAGATTCTGATGCGCATAAAGAGTGGAGATGGTCTTTAACCGGAAGGTCCGCAAGACAGATGGAAACGCTGACTATAAGTACACCACTTTGCTGAAGTATTCGCAATATGGCCGTACATAAGAATTTCGAATCTTCCAAAAGAATGTTGAAACAATGAAAGAATGGGCCCTGCAATCAAATGTCACTCGCTGCTTTCTCGTCAGAAAAATGCGCGACAAACTGGAATTTACAGCCACACCATGTAAAGGAATTAAGACAGTCAGAAATGCCGCGAAAGGATGTGTTAAGTATGTGGGATCAACGAGAAGATCAAAACGATGATGGGAACGCCATCATTTAGAAATGGACTAAAAACGCGTATCGATAAAGTCACTATGGTCAAAGAGACAAAGGAGAAAGACCTAATACCGTGGATCATGATCTCTTAACAGAAAACGGCACTAAATGCACCGATTTATATGAAATATCTCCTTGTGATCATCATTTTGAGCCA